GGCATTGTCTGGCGGCCGCGCGCCCGCAGCCGCTCGCTTCTCGGGCAAAGTGCTCTCTCCCAGCTCCTCCCTTTGTATCATCTTATTGGCAGCAGAGATCCCCTCCACAACGATTTCCCCCCCTCTTCTGGATACTGAGGAAACCAAGGGACAGAATTTTCCACTCTCCCCACCAAACCTGCCTTCCTCCCCTCCCCCTCCCGCATCAATGCAAATAGACTTACCAGTAATCGGGTAGGGATGCAACGGCCAAAAACGCCACCTGGAACCCGGAGATGCTACGGAGTGTTTCTTCCGCCTATTGTATCAGTGTATTTCCATGTCAGGAGGTGTTAGTATTGCTGTCTAGTAGGCTCTGCCTAAAGAGAGGGAAGAGAGCTGGAGAGATGGGGAGAGTGAAATGATGGGAGAGTGAGAGGAGAGAGAGAGAGAGAGAGAGAGAGAGAGAGAGAGAGAATGAGAGTTGTACAGATGGACCCGATGCAGTGACTGACTGGCACGCAGACACACACTTTTTGTTTGCTGCACATAATCTGCCCAATGACGCGTGACAGCCCACGTCCCCTCCCTTTAACTCTTTGCTGGGCTGGGCGCTCCCTCCAGCGCTGTCTGCCTGGGAGCGATCTCTCGGGCCTGCCCGCAGCCCTCGGGTCCGGAGCGCCTTCCCCAGGTGGCAGCGCCTCTCGGAGCACGGCTGGCCCGCCTCCTCCTAATGCATCGCCCCCTCTGGGACTGGTAGGACGGGAAATCAGTTCAGGGGTCCGAAAGGGAAGTACCAACAGAACTGGAAAGGGGCTTTTCCCGTTTCCCTGGGCACTTGGAGAACCTCTGACAGAAAGATGGACCCTCGGCGCCGCACTGACCTGACCCGACCTGGGCGCATTTCCTGGGGTCCGAGTTCTGTACAGGGGAGCCGGGCTGCGGATTAGCCCAAGGGATTCTCTGGCCACTGAGCCGGCACTGGTTCGCGCAGCCAGTTGCCGGGGGTTGATAAACCAGCTCCAGCTCTCGCCAGGAGCGCTCACCCCACCAAGCTCTTCCTAGCAAGCATCGGAAAGGATGCGCTTTGGTGAGAATTTGGCCCACTCTCTCTGAGGAGCCGGAGACGGGGCAAGGCAGACTGTGGCGATGCTGCCAGCCCTAAGGGGATTTACAGGGCTCGTCTGGTCCTGGGACACCAGTACCGGGAGGGGAGGGAGTGAGGGGAAGATGGGTGAGCCGAACCCAGGTTAGAGTCCTCACTGTTCCGCCCTCTGCCCCGCGCGTTCTGCATAGTCCCTGAGGAGGTCCCGCGTTGGGGTCAGCCCGCATTCTAAGACCTCCGGGTGTGTGTGTGTGTGTGTGGGGGGGGGGGGCGGGGAGTCAAAGTAAAAATGATTACCGAGATGTGCGCCGGAGAGACGTTCCAGTCCAGCCGGTGGCGGAAGGTGGTGGCAGAGTGGGCGGAGTGGCCGCGGCCGTCTGGGGAGCTGGTTTGTGCGCTAAGCCACTTAGAGGCGCTGGATGGCCCCCTTAGGGCCGCAGCTGATGGTGATGACTTGAGGTCTTTAACAGCCTGAAAGTTGACTCCTTCCACAGGGGCCCCCCACGCGTTTTCGCTGGGGATTCTGGGGTTCTTTCCCGCAGTTCAACTCTCTGCTCCTAAGGGAAGAAAGGCCTTTGAGTGGTATAGAGGGCCCCACTCCCTCAGCACCACCCCCCACCCCCCCACCAGCACCATTACATTGGAGAGGGCAATCCGTGAGCTTTAGATAAATCGGCTGTGTAGCCGGCTGAAGTGGGCAAAGCAGAACCGCGACTTGAGGAGAGGAAACAGCCTGGGTTTGATCCGGTGTTGGAACAAGGTGGTGGACGGGGGTTGGCGAAGAGCCGCTTTAGAGGAAAAGGTGCGCGCGGTGTTAGTTTGATTCTCTCGCAGTTCTGGGACCTCCCTCCGGAACCCAGTGAGGCAGCGAGGCTCTGAACGCCGCTCCTCCCGGCGCCTGCGGTCCAAGGAGGCCAGGAAAGGATTTTGCTGAGAAGAAGAAAAGAGTGTGCGAGGAATTTCCCACCAAGTGAGTTCCTTTCTCCTTGGTCTTTCTCTCTGTGTCCCCTTCTCTTCTCCCCGGGCCCTGGCCAGTCCCCACATAACTTCCCAGTCCTTCCCATCAGAAAGCTGTCGCCTAGGATTGAGCTGGGGTTCAGGGTTGGGAAATCCCCATATATTTAGGGGTGATGGGGGGGAATTCTCCCTTAATTTCTGATTTAGCCATTGATTTTTTTCTTTTTTTAAAATATATATTTTATTGATTTTTTTACAGAGAGGAAGGGAGAGGGATAGAGAGTTAGAAACATCGATGAGAGAGAAACATCAATCAGCTGCCTCCTGCACACTCCCCACTGTGGATGTGCCCGCAACCAAGGTACATGCCCTTGACCGGAATCGAACCTGGGACCCCTTGGTCCGCAGGCCAACGCTCTATCCACTGAGCGAAACCGGTCAGGGCACCACTGGTTTTTTCAAAGAAAGCTTCTCAAACTGCTGACGTGTTTTAACCTATCATTTCTCTTTCTGCACGTGTGCACACTTTTAAGTAGTTTGGCTAAGGGCAACTCATGGAATGACCAAGGCTCCATGCTGAGGGTTCTCACAGGTCCATGTATGAGAATCACTGTATTTAGCCACCAATTGTCTTATGACTGGGTGCTCCATTAATCTCTCTCTCTCTCTCTCTCTCTCTCTCTCTCTCTCATCCCCCCATCACTTGTTTAAAGAAAGGCTGGGGATTAGAAATGTCAAAAGAATTGCCTTAAACACCTAAAAAACAATCCACAACATGAAAAACTTGTCCCCAGACACTTATGTGAAATCAGAGGAGACTAAAAGGATAAAGAAAGAGACACCAGTGCAAACAAGAGCAAATTAAGATGAAGAAGGAGCCACAAGGGAGTTGTGGTCCCTTAGAAACTACAGTCAGATAAGAGAAGGAAGGTGTGTGAGTGGTTTGGGAACAGAGTCCTCAAACCTAATTCCATTAAACTGTTGAGCAGAACATTCCTTAGGCTCTTCTTTCGCTGTTATTTAGAGAACAGGAAGTTTGCCTTTCCCAAGAAAAAGCATCTGCCCATGTAAGCCATTAAAAAAAAAATCTATTACATGTTCTAAATATAAAAGCATCTATTCCAGGATGTGGACATTCTGGAAAACCTTAAACTCTAAGTGGAAGGCATTTTTCTTTTGCCTGGCCTTTCTTTTCTTAAATAAAAAGGACATATCTTAGACTATGTCTCCTTTGAGGTACTAAAATCTAGATTCCAGTTGGTATAAAATAATGTTTCTGGTACTTAAGTTGGGGGTAAGGGATCTTGACCTTTCAAATCTCAAGCAGAAAATAGCTAAGATTTATCAAGGAGGGGAGAGATGTATTGAGAATCTGGCCATCATGACATTTCCTCTCTCAGTTTCATCGTTCTGCTCCATAATTAGATTTCTCCTATTGATTTCAGAAAAAAAAATCCCCAAGGAAAAAAATTTCTGACATTTTATAAATCCAACCAATGCTTTGTCTTATGTATTAAATGACTGACATAACAAAAAAGCAAATATGGGTAGGAGGAAGCTAGAAATTCCTATTTTGAAGGTTTTCCAGTATTTTAAGTGGTACATATTTGCTTGGTAATATAAATCGTCCACATGACCATCATTGAAAGGAGGTAAAGAAAATCTATAAGTTATGTTTATTTCTCTGGAAATGCATGGGTGAAAATGGTGCATAAACTACTTTGAAATCACTCTACATTATTACTCCATGGAATTCACTGACACTAAATGAAGGCTTGAGGCATTTATTCAGCCTTAAAGAGTGCTATAAAAGTGCACCTTGGTCAATAGTTTTATCTAATTCACATGAAGCAATGAGTTTATGCATATATTTGGAGCTCTTTGCCCTGGATTTTATTTCCAATTAAATAATTAGAGGGATGACAATGAAGAGTGAGGATGTGTTCATCTAGCTCCACTTCAGCAAGGCCCCAGCAGTTATGGTAAAGATACATGTGTAGACAACTGCAGGATTGTTTGGGAAGAGGAGGCTGGAGAGAGGCCAGTGAATGAGTGATTCCTGAAGTGAAGCCTTTTCCAACCCAAGTGAGAGGATGGAGAAAGGGTAAGAAAGGAAATCTGATTCTTAAAGAGTATTACAATGTACATGTTGTTTCTCTCCCCAGGCTAGAGAAATGGGGCCCCAAATATCTCAACTTCTGTGATAGGAGGCAGGTAAAATCTCTAAGGATAACTCACTTAGAAGGATTGTTACCCTATAAGAATGAAAATACATTGTTTTTCTTTATCCTTTTCTAGGTCCAAGTTCACCCCCCACTAAAATTCTATTTCCAAAGCTCTACACCAGCAAAGGTTTAGTTGTCAAAAAATATATAGCAATTCATGGTGAAGGAAAAACATACCGGAAGACAAGAGGGATGCCAAGAAAGCAGACAATGGAAACTTTTTCTAAGCTTATTATTTTCCCACAGAAAGATCTCTGGAAGGGGCTGTGAGAGTTAGGGGAGGCAGGAAAAGGAACTTCATAGCCTCACAATGGAGAATATGGAAGTTTCTAAGGAATCACTTAGAGGCAAGAAGAGGAAGACTTGCTAAGCTGGATGGGGACACTGGTGTGTGTGTGTGTGTGTGTGTGTGTGTGTGTGTGTGTGTGTTTAGTTTTTTAAAGTATACATGGCAATCTCAGTTTGGGTCTATTCCTTACACTAAGTATTACAGTTGGTTCAACAGGTGAGAAATCAGTAAATGTTTCCCAGGTTGGTCATGGGAGAGCAAAACACATAAGGAAAAGATGCATAATTTTGTAACCTGTGAAGATGGCTCCCAATTCCTGACTCACATTTTTCTCTCTTCAGCATTTCCTCTTTCTCAGTAAATGATAGCTGTTTTTTAAGGCTGATGCTGCTGCTACTGCTACTACTTCCACAGCTACTGCTGTCCTTTCTCAAATTTAAAACCAAGGTATCTCATGTTCCACTTGCCATTCTGTTGGAGTTCAGCAGTAAGCTGGATAAGCTTTGAAGACTTTGTGTAATTAATTCATTTCCTCTCCTAGATCTGGGTTGTAGTCAGCTGGCTTAATGGCTTCTGAGTATGACTTCCAGCAGGGCTAGCAACTGAGGTGATATAGGCACCACCACAGATCTGAAATCAATGCCTCATGGTCACCTGTGTGTGAACTGTGACTCAGATCCAATACTCAGCATCCTGACCACCTGGATTCCCCCAGCTTTTTTGTGCCTTCCCAAATGAATATCTACAGAGCTGACAAGGAATATCCTAGTTTCCTGTAAAATCTGCAGGTTACAAAGGTTTTTGAGAGTCAGACGCTGCAATCTTGCACAGACCTCATTAGTAGGAGGAAGGTTGGAGGAAGAAAATGTAGGCAGGGCCACAGTCAGCCGCACTGGGCCTCCTTATCCTCTGGGCCAGGCTTTCCAGGCAGATCAAGGGGTGTCCAGCCATCTCAAATGGGAGGGAGCCTCAAATTTTGAGAAGATTGACTCTAGACCTTAGGAATGTCATCAAGTTGAGAAGCTCTGCATAGA